CCGTTCCCGCTGCTCCTGCACGTCAACGCACAACCTCATACTGTCTCCAAGTTACAAGAGCTAGGCTTGGAAGCTCTCCGTTATCCGCCATACTCACCAGAGCTTGCACCTAAAGATTTCTACTTTTTCTAAAATTTGGATAACTTTTTGGTGGGCAAAAAATTCAATACCCGAGAGGCAGTACAAAATGCCTTTGAAGAATTTGTTGCCACCCGTTCATCTGATTTCTTCAAGGGCATCAATAAACTGGCAAACATGCATCGATTGCATGGGTTTATTTACTTTGATTAATAGAAATAAAAAATATAGAAAAAAAAATACGTTGAATTATTTCATAAAGATCTAATAATTTTTTCCTTAATTTTTCTTTCAGCAGAGCCATTTTTGTAAAAGTCAATCTACGTTTTAAGTCTGACCTACATCAGGTTCATCTGTATTCTGGTTCTTCTGTTAAAAAACCTTTATGTATGATATTTTGTGTAGGTGTTATTTGAGATTAATAAGATTTATTACACCTAATATGATATTGTACATAAGCTCATTTCGTTCCGTGTGGCGAATGAGGTGCCAATGGGATAAGCCAAAAAGAACTTAAGACTTTCCTATAGATGACGGTATTATCGCTTTGAGACATTTACCTAATTTGATTAAAATTGCTTCATAATCATACTCCTCCTATGGTACGAAATAGGGTTATAGATTTTCGTGCGCCGCTAGGCCACCGGCACGGCATACCTATTTACTTAAAGTTTATCGTCTAATAAACTTAGATACTTTTATCACTTAAATAGTCTTAATCTTATTTAGTATTTACCTGTGTATTAAAAGGTAAGTAATTTCCATATTATGCAAACTGAGTCTAAAAACCACCTATTAATTTACACCAATCTAATGGTTATTTTATAAAATCCCATGATATGTGATAGGAACATGCAGTGTAAATTTTAAAAGGAAATAAATGCTGCGTGAATAATTTATTTTACCTTTTATTATGTAATTTGGCATAATATGCAGTTAAATGCTACAACTGTATATCAACAAAACTTTGTATACGTAGCACTTTAAGTTATTTTTTCCACTAAGTTCTACCTGTCAACAGGGCCTGATTTACCCACAGGCTAACTAGGCTGGCGCCTAAGGCGAAAGGTTCGAGGAGGTGGTAAGCTTGGCTTCGCAAGCACCACTTTTTTTTTTATAGGATCGGGTGACAAACGAGCACACAGTCCACCTGATGGTAAGTGGTTACTGTGACCCATAGACATCTACATCTATCCTCAATAAAGACTCAAGATGCAGATGCGTTGTCACCCGTGAGGACTAAGATGGAACGCCTCTTTGCCAGTAAAAAGGGTCGCCGGTTCTCTACACTCACTATACGAAACACAGCAGCGTTAAGCTGCTATTTTACGCTGGTTTTCTGTGAGAGCGTGGTCCTTCCCCGGTCGAGCCGACCCATTCGTGCTACAACCATAATATAGCTGCAGCATGGCTCTAGTGAGAATAAAATCTGGTATAATATTCTCAATAAATAATAGAGTGAATACCGCAAGTATTTTACTTGTTGCTCTTTCTTTAACCTGTTCAAGCACAGAACAAATAAATAGATCATAAAAACAAGACTTTGAATTATTCTTACATTGACTAACTGGACGTGATTCAAAGATTGTAAACTGCTCAAGCTCTCTTCTCTACCTCTAATTTTATAAACTCGTTTTGCCAAGGCTGTCCAAGGGAACTTCTGTCAACCATCTGTTCCATCTCTGCACAGGGAGAACGACTCACTTGCCCATGCCGCAAAGGAAAAAGTCGATCTTTTAGTTTCTCCTTTTGAGTCCAACTCGATTCATGATATACCCCCTGTATACACCGGCGATCATCCCGCGGTGTGATTAGTGATTGTTCCATGCTGGATGTACGGTTTGCAAAGCACTCCTCTCTCTGGACGTCAACAAGACGAGTGGGCCTGTGGAGTTCCTCCTGTTGTACTGAAGACGAGTACTACTAGTTAGCACCGGTTCTAACGCATCTTTTCAGGTACTTTTCAGGCGATGGTCGACACTTACTATCAGGAAAATTTGATTTAAATAATTGGGCGAATCCGTGAGGTGGAAAGCTAGTAAAATATAAAAATCTAGTAAATATATTCGTAGGCTGGGCGGGCACAAAAAGAACAGGCCGGTGGGGGTGAGGTAGGGGTGCATATCATAGTTAGCCTAGAGCTGTCGGAACTCTAAATGAGGCGCTGCCTCTTAAACATTGATTTTATGAAAGTAATAGCGAGACTTAGGGCAGTCTAGAGTTATTCTATTTGGTAGGCCGTTTTCGAGGCGAGGCAAAATTAGGGCTATACCTCCCTAAAGTGTTGAGGCACTAACTTTTTTCCTGAAGTCACTAACTTTTTTCCTGAAGTCACTAATTGTCACCAATTCCAGCTTAAGGACACCAGGAAGACAGAGTCGATAGATGCAGGTAGCTCAGGATAGTGCCTTGTGGCGTTCCTTGAGGGGAGGTCTTTGTCACAGAGTACATTATATATTACAGACAGTCTTTGTTTAGCTATAAACTTGTATAGGGCTGTAATAATGAATAATTATTCATCAGATGATGACGTTATTTGTTGTTTAGTGTTAGAACAATGTTCTAAGCAAAAATAAATCATTGACTTCGGTTTCGGCTAAAAAGCAACCTTCGATCTGTCTATATATGTAACAATGATACTAGGGAGAAAATGAGAGGAGGCCTGTGCCCAGGAGTGGGGGGTACATATATAGGCTGAAGCTTTACTTAAATACTAGGGGCAACTCGTAAATAAATACATCGTCTCTTCCTACCAATGTTTTTATTATATTATGACTTTTACACTTACATATTACAATTAAAATGATATTGATAGATAAATGTAAGTCCATTTATTTTATCACACTAAATTTCACAAAATTTCATAACAAATAAACTGTTTAAAATGTACGGTAAAATAATCTATATTTCGTTAGTGTGTATAGAAAAAGATGAATAAATGCGATATTATATTGAGAATACAAAAGTTAGAAATGAGTGCTTCTATCCTTAGGGGTACATACTACAGAGCTACAAAGAAAATCATTGTTTACTTGTGTCTTACGCTAAGTAAAGAAATAATTGATTTTACTTCTTATATAACTCTTTTCTTCTTTAATTAATTTAATTCAAGTGAATAAAATAGAATATTTATGTTTAACATCAATTATGTTTAAAGTATAAATATATTTCAGTACAGTATAAATCACTACTCTCTCTTACTAACCCGCCACCATATTATATTAACATTATTCTAGTGACTATTGCCCAAATACTCGAACGCTACTCAATTGTAAGGTGTCGTTAAGTCTCGTGGTGTCGCAGTCACTTTGACTTAAAGTGATAGAGACAGCACGAGACTTAACGGCATCTTAAAATTGAGTAGCGTTTGAGTATTTGGGCAATAGTCACTAAAATAATTTATATAAAACAAGGGAAAAATTAAAAGATAAATACAAGGAATGGTACATTTAAAACACATAAGTTTCTATATAATAAAATTAGATTTAATTGAAATCAGTTTTCAGAAATTCACTTAATAAAATAGTACACATACATTATATAGCGATGGCGGATTATGAAGTTTGATCTGGATCCGGTCAAGTTCTTGTAGTATTTGTTAAAGATTTATACAATGATGATATGATAAATAACTGGCAGGTGGTATTATTTTTACACAGTCTTAATCATAGACTTAGAATATACTACCCCAGTATATTCTAAGTCTATGGTCTTAATCAATGCACGTCATAATATTTAAAATCACTGACGATAACAATTATTGTTAACGCTTTACTTAACATTGGCATAATTCTAGATTTACGTGCATTCATTGAACAGATGTAGAAGTGTATACAATAGCATACAATAAAAGAATCACTGCATATTATACCTACGTACAAGATATTCTGAAACCTCCGTTTATTTTCTTGGTTAAAAAAGTGTTTCGTAAAAGTCATGAACCGCAGTGCGACTGTGTACCTCTGGTGGGCCATATGTTTTTTTCTTTATGATAACACTATAAACTATGTCAATATAAAATTGAAATCAATGAAAAAATGTCATGCGGCGTAGAATATCAACTACCCTATATCGTCCCACAGGTGCCGAAAGAGACGACAGAGGGGAAACAAGCTAGGAGATGGTTCCGGCAGCAACGTCTTCCTAATATGAATCATAGAAACCTGCAATTGCCAACCGCTTTCCAAACATGTTTATTTATTAAGATTTTTGGTTTGGATGCTTGTGTTTTAAGCGATGCCTATGTTCAGTTGTGGATTTTGATAGTTTATAATGATTGAATGAATGAATGAATGAAGTCTTTTATAATCGGTACTGACACATTTATACATTCACCAAAACAAAACGTAAGGGAAGTTAAATACGTCAAAATACAGCCATCCACATTTCTCACCAGAGTTACGCGATCGCAATACCATTGTGGCTCATTGTGTGTCAGCGACACGTCAGTTAGGCGAGGTGCGACAAGTCGTCCAACTCGGAAGTACGCAGGTAAGGCGAGGTGTAACAAGTCGTCCAACACGGACGTACGCAGGTTAGGCGAGGTGCGACAAGTCGTTCAACTCGGGCGTACGCAGGTTAGGCGAGGTGCGACAAGTCGTTCAACTCGGGCGTACGCAGTTTAGGCGAGGTGCGACAAGTCGTCCAACTCGGGCGTACGCAGGTTAGGCGAGGTGCGACAAGTAGTCTAACTCGGCCGTGTGCTGTTTAGGCGAGGTGCGACAAGTCGTCCAACTAGGAAGTACGCAGGTAAGGCGAGGTGCAACAAGTCGTCCAACACGGACGTACGCAGGTTAGGCGAGGTGCGATAAGTCGTTCAACTCGGGCGTACGCAAGTTAGGCGAGGTGCGACAAGTCTTCCAACTCGGATGTACGCAGGTTAGGCGAGGTGCGACAAGTCGTCTAACTCGGCCGTGTGCTGTTTAGGCGAGGTGCGACAAGTCGTCCAACTCGGGCGGCGGCTGTGTCGGTTGTGACGCTTGGCCGCTGCGGGCGAACATCGGCTTCGCCATCACCGATACGGGCGCCTGTTACGTTGTATTATTCATAGTAATAAAATTCCGATATGTAAATGTAATTCATAAACATTTTAGCTAATATAGTGATGAAATTTTTATGGTGTATATATTAGAGATGTTACGGAGGTTCGATTCCGATTTCGGTTCCGTAAATTTTAATCGGAAGTTATATATCGGAGGTCGATGCACAGTGGTGGCGGCGGCCACGATCAAAGTGTACAAACAATTTTATACTTGTCGGTTTGCCGCCCCGGGAACCTCCGTCCTCTCGTGCTTTCTGTCGATCACTCTTTAACTTGATATTTTGTTTCGTATTTGGCAATTGGCATGTTGTGCGTTCGCGCTTCATTTATACCTATCCGAGTTTTTGGTTAGTTTTAGTACTAGTGTTTTATTTGACGTGTAACAAGTTTATTTGAATTGGGCAATGAAGCCAAAATCAAGTGCCATTTGAAATTATTTCAATGAAGTTTCTGAGAATACGGCAAAGTGTAAATTATGTGTTAAGATATATTCACGAAAGGAAGGTACGATTACTTTATTAAAGTCATTTTAAAAAGTCTGTGCATGCCACTGAATTCGAAGAATTCAAAAATACAGTGCAAGAGATCTGCCTTTAACACATCTCTTCTGCTTCCACCTTCGTTTCCGGTTCCGATTTCGGTTCCGGTTCCGACAAACAAAATTTAAAAACTGCGCTTCCGAATTCGGTTCCGATATAACCACTTCCGTAACATCCCTAGTATTTATGTATGTGTCATATGAAAGGTGCCGTTGTTGTCGGGATCCAGAAATCAATCGTGCGAAGCCGGGATGAATGAAGTTTCAGACCTGCAGGTGTCCAAATAAAAGCCCAATTTTATAGCCGAAGTAAAAAGGTCAACTTACAGTACCTATATATGTCCAAATTCTGGGCCCACTACGCAGATGGCTAGTCTCCGTTGAGATTAGCCGCCGTGAACAACATGACATTATTATAATAAAAAAAATTCTCAGCGTAAAGTGTATAGCGTGTAGCGTGTTATTTACCTGGCTATGTTGCGGCGTATGTGACGTGGAAGCCGGCGCCTGGTGCGGCGGCACGCCCACCACCACCAGCTTCTGCGGCGCGGCCGCGCCCGCGCCCCCCGGCCCGCCCGCCGGCCCGCTCGTCACCACCACCGACTACACACACCATGCACTACACTATAGCATTCGGCACAAATTTTTAGCACTAGACTATTTTGGTCGAACCTTTTGTCCATATTCATTTTTTCCATACTTCAAAGTAGTAGGGAGTCGTCGTATTTACTAATCAGAGTATTTTTAACGTGTGTACTAGCGCTATATATTGCTATATTATTCACTAACTAGCTATTCCCCGCGACTTCGCCCGCGTGTTATTTGGGGTTTTAATTTTTTGCGCGGAACCCTAATTATTTTTCTAAAATAAGAGTAGCCTAAGTTGCTCCTTGTGACATCAGGTATCTGCCAGTGAAAATGCCGTTAAAATCGGTCCAGCCGTTTCGGAGATTAGCCGGAACAAACAGACAGACAGACAAAAACTTTAAAAATTGTATTGCATACCTTAAGCGAAAGCGCAATGTATGTTCTACTATCGCCTAAAAATTAAGATTCCAACGTTTTATCGAATAAAATCGTATCTAGCAATCATATTATACATGTAAATGATATAAAAAGCACATTGTCAGAAAGATAAATGATTGTTGAACTTATTAATATTTTTTTAAATCGATTAATTGCTATTTTTAAATAAAAAAGGGGTTTTAGTTCGCAAGGCTTGTAAACACGATAACTTTTGAAAATATCAATTGTTTAACTCAATCTATTTTTTAATCTCTTCATCTATCATGTGGGAAGCCACTGAATGTAAATGGCAGTGTAATTTTGTTTTGTTTAGCTATAATTAATTTTCGTTGATTTGGTAGCCTTGTATGTAAATTATTTCTGTAAATGGTGAGCTACAGCCACAGAGTAGTTTACTCACACTCAGTTCGGCGTCAATCGCCGTTATGAGTGGACATTGTTTCGGTTGTTTGCAGCGGCTCAAAAAGATCGCTGTATAAATACACAATATTTGTTGAAGCCGATAGTGCTGTCGAAATGTAAATAAAAGATAGCGGCTGCAATAGGTATCAATTTTTTCGTCATGGGTGTCATTTGCATAGTTTTTGAGTATTTTGAAGCCGATAGTGCTGTTGAAATGTAAATTCAAGATGGCGGCTGCAATAGATATCAATATTTTCATCATGGGTGTCATTTTCATGGTTTTCGAGGGTGCTGAAGCCGATAGTGCTGTCGAAATATAAATCCAAGATGGCGGCTGAAGTAGGTACCAATTCTTTCATCGTGGGTGTCATTTTCATGGTTTTCGAGGGTGTTGAAGCCAATAGTGCTGTCGAAATGTAAATCCAAGATGCCGGCTGCAACAGATATCAATTTTTTCATCATGGGTGTCATTTACATGGTTTTCGAGGGTATTGAAGCCGATAGTGCTGTCGAAATGTAAATCCAAGATGGCGGCTGCAATAGGTATCAATTTTTTCATCATGGGTGTCATTTTCATGGTTTTCCAGGGTGTTGAAGCCGATAGTGCTGTCGAAATGTAAATCCAAGATGGCGGCTGCAATAGGTATCAATCTTTTCGTCATGGGTGTCATTTTCATAGTTTTTGAGTATTTTGAAGCCGATAGTGATGTTGAAATGTAAATTCAAGATGGCGGCTGCAATAGATATCAATTTTTTCATCATGGGGTGTCATTTTCATGGTTTTCGAGGGTGCTGAAGCCGATAGTGCTGTCGAAATGTAAATCCAAGATGGCGGCTGAAGTAGGTACCAATTTTTTCATCATGGGTGTCATTTTCATGGTGTTCGAGGGTGTTGAAACCGATAGTGCTGTCGAAATGTAAATCCAAGATGGCGGCTGCAATAGATATCAATTTTTTCATCATGGGTGTCATTTTCATGGTTTTCGAGGGTATTGAAGCCGATAGTGCTGTCGAAATGTATTTAAACTACTTTAAAAATTCCGTGTAATCATGTTATACGTAATTTTTTTAATGCTCTTAAGGTATGCCCGATTGGATTTACCAATATTTATTTTTGTTATTATTACCGTATATACTTTCATGTGCAATTTAGTAAAAAGCTGTAATTTTAACATCACAAACAGACACTTCAATTTTATTTATTTGTGTAGATGAGGGCTAATAATTTTCTGCTCACCAGATGTTGCTAGTTGACACTGAGGTAAAGTTTTTGGTTATACAATGTCATTTAATTCAGAAGTTGTTTTTTAATAAAAAAATTATCAGTTTCTAGAGTAATATATTAATACACAAAACAATGCGTCAGTGGTTTCCTGTTGGCTCTTTAACTTTTTGCACATTTTTAACTAAAATTTTTTAATTTTTCTACTTTTATGAATATCTTTGGTTTTTTTTTTTAATGTTATTAATATAAAATATAGCTAACAGTACCAAAAGAGACAATAACTTTTACATTTTCCGAACATATTAACTTCCCCGCTATGAAATCTGTCAAACATTATACCTCACTTTCTAGTGGCGTCGCCCTGGAAGCAGAAAAAGTCGTGGATACCCTCATTAAGTTGATTTTTATTGGTTGTAAACTAGTTTTATTTCTATCGTGAAAGTATTATAATATTAAAATCTATTGGCTTGTTGGTGTAGTGGTCGCAAGCGCGACTCGCTATCACTCGCAACTGAGGTCCTGGTTTCGCAACCCCAGGTCTGATCAACAAACCAATTATTGGGTTTATTGTTAAGAAGCCGTTGATTGTGCCCGATCTCCCTCCGATCGTGTCGGATTACCGTCCCATCGGACTTTGAGAGTGCACCTGTGTATGTGCACACGCTTGTGCACTACACATAATCCTGTCCTGTGCAACTGGCTAGTCTCCGTTGACACTGGTATTAGAAATTAATCTTAGTTTTCGACCATCTAGCTTCTAAGTACAATTTAATGTATCCATTGATCCCCCTTGACAGTTATTCTTATAAATAGACTAAAAATTTGGTAAAAAATCTTACTGAATTACAGTGAACATTGTAGTATTTAAAATGTAAAAAAATTGAGATTAACTTCTTAACCGAACCCTACCTACGCGGGAATTAACACGCAGTTTTTATTTTCCTTAAGTATTCATTAATTACGTAAGGCTCTCGAGGTGGTTAAAAAATCTCTACATACCCTTATCTTAGGGGAAGGGAGGTAAAACCCATTGCGTAACATTTTGTAAGTCGTAATTTAATATTAGATAACTAGTCCCATTTCGGATACAGAATAGTTTTTTCCATTCTATAATGTATACTTCGATTAACATCTTATTTTACAAATATTTATTGTTTATTAAAAATTTTAAATTTTAAATGTGTACATTTTTATCCATTTCATCCGTCATAAATAATAATTATAGTACTATTCATTTAAAACTAGTCGATCATTATTTTGAAAGTATTTTTCATTTGTAGATTGTTTAACTGATGTAGTATGTATGCTCACTTTAAGACTATTAAAAACTTACTTTTAATTATATTAATATTGTTTCCAAAGACTATGTTGTCTAATAATAATATAACAGTAATGTATATCTGACAGCAATAAAAGAGATCGATTACCCAAATTATCTGTTAACAAATAAAGACCTTTGATTTAGGTACGTCAAACTTTGAGTTATAGTCCTAGAGTATTATATGGTTTTAGTGTAACTGATCCTTTTCTAACAACATTTTGTTATTCTAAAAAACAAGATAAAATCTTACGTAAGAAGGGGGAAGGGGATTTCAAGAAATCTTATTTACCCTTACATGGGCGTAGGGCGGGTCAAAAAGCGCTAAAATCATTCTTACGTAATTAATGAATGGCCCCTAACAGCAATTGGACAGTTACTCAATACATGCACATTTAAGAACTATTTTTATAATTCGTTCTCATGCTTACCATGACAAGTAAACCAACAACTCAGCGCAGGCTATACGTGAATTTTGGTTTCGTGCTTATTATGTTCAAACTATCTGCTACGTTATAAAATTCATGCTTAAAATACGAACATATTAAATCATTATTAATATAAATCTACTTTCTTAACATGCTTATTAATTGTACAAGACTTATTTACATAAAGTCATAAAAAAATTACCTGCACATTCTGGCTCCTAACTATTGTTGGTTGAGTGCTGTGTACTATATGACCCGCGCTGCTGGAGGTCTGAGTCTAAAACAAAGAAAAACCATCTTGAAAGAACCATAATCTCATTAAAACTTAAATATTGTTTAATAACTTTGAAAATTTCACAAAATTCTTGGTATTCTATACTTTAAGTGAGTAATTCTTGTATATTTTTATCTAGCGACCCGCCTTGGAAAGTACGTATACGCATAAGAACACATTACAGGTATATTAAAATGTTTACCTGTGGAGGTTTCTGCTGGGACACGATGACGAACTTCTGCGGTGGCGGCGTAGAGGGCGCTGGCGACTGCGGCGCCGAGCTCGCACTAATCACCACGTTACGTGTCGCTAACGTCTCTGAGTTAAGAACACAAATATCTTAAAACAGTTAATTTCATAGTTTTTTTTTTTATTTCAATAAGTTTTTTTTATGATAAGCGATTAAATAACTTCTTATTCAAATGCCAACGCCACTTATATATTGTGTAAACCTGCTGACTAACGATTGATAAACAAAAATCTTACCCCCTAATCAACACAGTGATGATAGAGAACAACATCACTAGCATATCAATTCTACGCTCATCAACTCGTCTAGCCAGAATTTTGAGTGTACGCACAAATTTTTCATTTTAATTGGCACATACCGGAAAAATTTGCTGAACGTATATCTAGCACCAGATGAAGAGAGACCTACAACGCCACGCTACAGCTTTATTGTGAGTACAATACGTACGGCTTAATAATTAAGTTCCCGGTCGGCTCGAACCGAGAACTTACTTTTCTAGTAACGAGGCACTCCATCTCAGTAATCAGGGGTGGCGATGCATTTCTAGTTTTAATCGATGATAATTTGTAGGCAACCTCAAGTCCACTTAGAAACAGGTGAACTGTGTACACATTTGTCTTAATTATTAAAAAAAGATTATCGTGATGCTCATGGAATGAGTCACCATTGAAATGTGTGTAATCCGCGTTACTTGCTAGAAATAATTACTTTATAGCCAAAGAGTGCAAGCCTGACTGCAGTATTTTCAAAGTTACTATATAAAACACATCAACTCTAAGCTAACATTATATTCCTTAACTAGCGATCCGCCCCGGCTCCGCGCGGGTGATTTCTGGATCTCGACAACAGCGCCACCTACCTGGTCCATTTGTGAATCTAAACCACCTAGGGATCCATGCGTGTGGAATTTCGTAAATCCGTTCATAGCTGACCTCTACTCGGCGAAAGCAATATTCCTACCAAATTTGAAGTCTCTAGGTCTTGTGGTTCCAGAAATATCGTGATGAGTCAGTACATAGGTGGGAATCTCTTATATATAATATATATATATATATATATATATATATATATATATTATATATAAGAGAGGAAATAGAGTGAATGGGGCTCTACACGCTATTATGAGGAGTCAGAATGTGTCAACTAAGGCACGTATGGCAATTCATAATGCTGTGTTAGTCCCTACTTTAATGTATGGTAGTGAAAGTTGGGTCTGGCAGAAGAAGCATGAGAGTAGAATAAATGCTGTAGAAATGCGTTCCTTAAGGAGTATGCTAGGGCTGAATCTGAATGACAGGGTGAGAAATAGTGTGATAAGAGAAAAGTGTGGTCTGCAAGATGACGTTGTGACAAGGATTAAGAAAGGAATGCTTCGGTGGTTTGGTCATGTAGAAAGAATGAACGAGGAAAGAGTGACAAAGCAAATTTATGTTGCGGAAGTGAACGGCAGGGTCGGGAAGGGACGCCCTAGACGAAGGTTTATCGACCAAATCGGCAATACATTAAAAATGGGCCAGATTAGGAGTACCCATAACCGACGAGCGTGTATGCGTAGATATATGGATGTAAAAGAGGCGAGAGAGGTGTGTCAGGATCGCGCCAAATGGAAGTCCGTAGTCTCTGCCTACCCCTCTGGGTGTCAGGCGTGAGTGTTTATGTATGTATATATATATATATATATATAAGAGATTTGTTTAAGGCATGTTTGTTGATGATTATTGTATATTTTATATATGCCGTCAACACACGTGTAATATACACATCAATGAATATTACACGTGCGTGGTGGCGGCATGAGTATCATCAAACGTGTAAAGGCAGCAGCAACATCCTATGAAAAACTCAAAATAATAGAAAAAAAACAATATAAGCAAAACCCCCTTTATAAGGCAATCAATGGGGGAGTCCTAGGTTCAGCAGTGGACTTTTATAGGACGTAATGGTAATACACACACAGCATAAGATAATCTATCCCCTAACCAAAATCGCCCCTCCCCATGGGACGAGGGAAGATTAAAGGAAATAACAGAAAGAGATTATAGTTTCCTATGGGTGATAGTTTAACCATCCTACTTTCAGCGGACAAAATGCTCAGACCAATGACGGTGGCCTAAGCCAAAAATGCGAGGCTACGCCATTTTGTTGCAAACCTCACAATGCTATCAGCCAGATCCTTACTTCACAATTTTATCTGCCAGATCCTTACTTCGCAATTTTATCTGCCAGATCCTTACTTCACAATTTTATCTGCCAGATCCTTACTTCACAATTTTATCTGCCAGATCCTTACTTCACAATTTTATCTGCCAGATCCTCCCCCGATAATGGTACCCAGGAAGCCATGAAGGAGAGTTACACACAAAACACACTTTGCAGCACAACAAGCATCCATTACACTTGATCCTATCACATCAAATCTTATACTGTTTTGCATTGTTTATAGCTTCCAACAGTATGCGGGATATGTCACCATTGTCGAAAAACTACAGGACTTCGTCATCAAAACTTACCGGCGGGCTTGCTTGTTGGCGTGGTGCTGGGCGTGGGTTGCGGTACCAGCGGCGGAGTACACGACACCACGGCGACTGCACTGCCACTACTACCTCCAGCTGGCGAAGACCGAAGCTTGCTCACCATCTGCTGTAAACTTGGCCCCAGATAACCGTAGTCGCGTCTGGAATTATAATTAACTATTGACAGACTTGCCTGTTAACAATGACGTCCTTAACGCTGCAGCCCCAACGTGTTAGTGTTGAGTATGGTACTATGGCGGACACGGTAACTAATGAGGGATGCGGGCGGGGCACCACATTATTTATTTATTTTTTGATAACATCAGCGTAGGACTAGGATAGATTTGTATGCAACTTAACAAAGTTATGAGTAAAATATAATTAGTGTATATATTTAAATTATGGCGAAAGAATTTTAATGTGTAATTTAGCGAATTATTGTATGTATTGAACTTCATGCCAAGAACGGTAATGCATGTCAATTCCACTATATTTAATTAACATCTTATGCACCTGTTTTCGGAAATAATTCTCCGTTTCTGTTTCTGTTAGGATGAGAAAGTGTTTGTGTGTTCACAGTATATTTGTAGCAGCAATATAAATATCCAATTAAAATATCTTGCATGGATGATAGCATCTAATAATATTCTGAAATTCTTGCTGTGCTCAAAATTGACCAAGAGAACAAATTTATTCCTACTTCTGTACATCTTACTAAATCCAATGCTTGAAAAACATATACTTAGTCATATATTACACTAGGGCTAATATCTACAGATCGTACTTTGACTTTGCTCAGACTTAACTTACGAAAAACTTAGCTAAGTATATGCTAGGCATAAACTTTGATTCTGTATTTATAGTTGTATCGGCCTAAGATTAAGCTAAGCTTATGATAAGGCCCCGCCGACAGTTACACAAATATTAATGGATGCTTCATTCCACGCATTATGTTTTTGAAAATTAAAAAATATATATATTTAAAATCAAAATTACTGTATAAAATTAAAAATATATATATATGTATTTAAAATCGTAACAGTCCAAATTGTATTTCATAAATACGTTATTATTACATGAAAAGAACGAGAACGGATATGAGTGCAATATCAAAAAAAAAAAAGAAATAAATAAGATTTCAAAAAATTCGAAATAAGATTTAAATTACATAAATAGAAAATGGAATTATGCTATTTAAAACTAAAAGACGGCCTAAAACTACCTATTTATTGTTATAATGAATTAGAGTAACACTAAAACATCAATTTAAAATTAATACGGTGGTTTTGAATAATATACTGAGTTTTACGTAAGTCGTCGATATCGTTGATTTAGGCTTTGCTAAGCGCGCACTCAGCACGACTTCAAAGTTAGCTCCATAAGTACCGACATTGTCTTAGTTCGAAAGTAAAGTCTGAGCAAAGACAAAGTACGGTCTATAGATCTCAGCCTAGGAGTTGGATATACCAACTGACAAGTTAAATTTTAATATTTGCCCATTCTCACTATGCTTGGTAATGTGAGTTTGTGAGAGCCGATACACTTGCACTGATAATGCAGCCACCCGCCCTTTACCGCCAACATCGCGCAGGAAGAGAAACAAAACAACATTATAATTTTGAATACGTCGTAAGACTTCTTTTTTGTTAGGAGATCCATTTAGGTAATTTCTACAATCTGCCCTACTGAAGCCCGAGCACCACTCCATATACTGTCGCGTTCCACGTTAAAAGGTTTTACTAAATGCATATGAAAGTATATACGGTACTAATAACAAAAATACAATTTTTAAAGTTTTTGTCTGTCTGTCTGTCTGTCTGTCTGTCTATTTGTCTGTTTGTTCCGACTAATCTCCGAAACGACTGGACCGATTTTGACGGGATTTTCGCTGGCAGATAGCTGATGTTACAAGGAGTAACTTAGGCTACTTTTATTTTAGAAAAAGAATTATGGTTCCGCGCAAAAAAAATTAAAACCCCAAATAACGCGGGGAAGTCGCGGGGGACAGCTATTGCCAATATAATTTTAATCAGAGGCTGAGAGCTTTCCTTTTTTATCCTAAGTGGTAATTATAGAAGTTGAGGAGACAAATAAAGGTTTGTTTTATTTTACTTGCAGGTGTCCAAGAGCAGCAGTATTCACATCTAGTGGACAGTTAATTCGGGAGTCCTCGTCAATAATTAGATTCGTACTTGTAGTCGTCAGGCACATCAGGTGGCTGGCGCAGCTGCCTCACAACGGGCGCGAGCACCTTCAGCAGCTGGTGCTTGAGATTGCCCGCTGCGAGCCGGTCCGCTCCGCCAATCCCGCTTAACGCGCCTTCCACGCGCTCTCCCAGCCATCGCACGCGAGGTAGGATGAACACCTGGACAAACATAACCTTTGTCTTATTACTGCAATTTTTGAGACGCCGGACTATTTGTGTCAGCTGGCACAATCAGGATAAAGTTCGCAGAATTTTGATCTTCTAACCTTCATCCCTTCCATTTTTCTGTTTCTGTTATATTGTATTATATTAACTGTTGAATTGAAAACTCTACACCATTGACCACATTGTTTTAAGTCAATATTGTGTTGTTATTTTTATCAATAGATACTTACATTTTTTTATTTATTATGCTGTGCCCTAAGAACAATTTACAATTTTTTTAGGGCACTGCAATTACAATGAGAATAGAATTTACAATGAGCAAAGTTAAGTGCTAGTTATGACATTTGGGCGATTAAAAAGGAATATTTATGCTAATAGTGAAATTTACGCTTGACAATAATGATGGAGTTTAGGATATATATCTCAATTATATGTCTACATAATAGACATTTAATTTACGGTTAGCATCAAAATACAAAATCTAGTTATATTTTAAATAAGTAAAACAATAGGTGCATCAATGATCGATAACATTAATTTAAAAATATTAAGAACGATAGTAAAAAAAATTATAAAAAGAAGAAACAAAAAACGGTACATTTTACAAAGTCGAAGTTAAGAATTTGACTTTGTATTATATTAGGTATGGTTCGCACAAACATAGAAGAATCGGCAAGAAACTCTTTTTTAATACTGTGTTACAAAACTTATCATACATCATTATAAAAATACATAAGTAGCTAGGAGATTTGCAAGTGCAGAGTAAGTTATTTCTACATATCATTGTCCTCAATATATTTATCTATTTTATATAGTAGAGCTTTTTTAATAAAATTTCCTTAATAATATTCATAATTTTATGCCAAACTGTTGCACTATATATTTAGAAATTGATTTGTATAACTTTATGCAGTTACTACTAATTTTTGTTTCTAGGTTTAGCCAATACAAATTTAAGCACCTCTACTGTATCACCTCGAACCATTCTACAGGAAGTCTCTTTTTGATTTCAAAAAAATATATATTACACCATGTGTAATGCAATGTTTTCAAGAGAACAACAAAGAAAGTTTCAAAAATAGCCCAGTAAAACATTCTTATCTATTATCCCTATGCATTGCAAGTACTGTTATTTTTAAATTACTTATTTATGTACTTACTTTAACAACTTCAGGCCCCAGCTCGGCTAAACCTTGTACTGCACCATACAGAGATGCAAGTGGGGTTTTTTCAGACTCTTTCATGGTAGTGACCATAGATGGACCATTGCCAGTTTCATTATTAGTTTGAGACGGGCATTGTAATGCCTTCGCAAATAATCTATAAGCAAAAATATTTCAAAATTATTTTTATAGAACTATCAATAAAAAATAATGAATAAATTAAAATTTCAATATAATTACCGAGTCACTCTAGTTTGAAGGTTATTGGTTGAAGTATTAAAGGTTTTACATATCTGGGCCATAAGCCGTGCAGCGAAATCACGCAATGCCCAATGATTATCCATTTCAGGACGTGAGCATAGCTGTCTTGACACTATGCATGTTGATACTGATGGAATTAACTCGTGCAACTGTATTAATAATATATCTTATGAGTATACTTCGTTTTTTATCTTAAATTTATCTTCTTTCTTTTTCTTTATTGCCTTAATCGTCACGCTTCGCGGGTGGGTTGATGATCGCCGTACGTATGACCCACACCTTTTTTTTTTGTATAGGATAAGGGTGACAAACGAGCACACTGTCCACCTGATGGTAAGTGGTTGCTGTGGCCCATAGACATCTACATTTATCCTCGATTACGACTAAGATGGAATGCCTTGTTTCTAGTAAAAAGGGTCTCCGGTTCTCTACAATCACCATACGAAACACAGCAGCATTAGGCCGTATACAGAAAGAAAGCTGGCAGCCTATCAGCGCTTATTGTGACCGGTCCACGCAGGAAACCGGCGCAGACATTTATATGAAAAGGCGCCGATAAGCGCCGAACATTGCCTACAAGTTCCGACTCTTCGACACGCGTCGGTCAGCGCTGGCGCCGCCCGACATTTAAAATTAATTAACAACTATACGACAACACGTACAACTACGACACGCATATATTTTTGTTAAAAAGAGAAATAAATAGTGACGTGTTGATTGTACGGAAGACGGCATATTATCAAAGGTTACTTAGATACCTACTTTTTAAAATCGCTCTTATTACAAAATAATAAAGTCGGTACAAATCTCAAAGTGTTACGCTTGATCTGCTGTTGACTGTACAAGTGTATATTTAAACCACGTTTGAACATTTTAAATTATTATTTATTACAGAGCTTTACGTATATTTTGTAAAAATTGTAAGACGTATATTTTGTAAAAATTGACTATTGGACAAATAAACATCTTTTCTTAAACATTTTTTTTTTTATTATAATCTTTTTATAAATCTAATAACTTTATCTTTTAATAACCAAGCGATAAATATATTTTTTCGTACTTAGTCTTTCTTCTGGAACGATTGGTTGTTTATGCCAATTACACCAATTTTCATCAAATGTTTTCCCACTAAATCCAAAATGTAATAAAATGTTTCTTGAGTCATTCTTGTATATCTATAGAATTTTTGATCATCAAATTTCAATTGTTTTACAAATAAATGATGGTATCCTGCGAAACGTTTCCTTTCTCTATTAATAGGATGTATAGCTTATTTTCGCATTTTAAAATACACATTTTCTAACAAAACTAATTCATCGTCAGATAAGTACGACATTTTGCTCGCTCTGCTTCAATTGGCTTGCTTTATGTAACTGTTACCAGAATAGACCAGCGCCGATTAGCGCTGGTAGATCGGCGCTGGCTGCCGGCTTTCTTTCTGTATACGGCCTTAAGCTGGTATTCTGTGAGAGCGCGGTCCTTCCCCGGTCGAGCCGACCCATTCGTGTTACAAACTACACCAGAAGTATAGCTGCAGCAAGGCTCTACCACGTATATAAATATACCTTTGATATTTGCTGATGTAAACATAAACAAGATGGTTATAGGGCCATCTATCGTCCATTAAGGTTTTATCACCATCATTGATTTTTATTTCTTCAATAATGTAACTTCTACGAGGGTGCGTTTTTAAGTTCGCGGAGTGGGTAGGTAGGTAATAAGTGGGGATGTCGCGACGTCCAAACAAGACTCTATGCAGTGGCACAAAAAAGGCACACAACCACCTAAGAAATTTAAGGTGGCACAATCGGCTGGGAAAATCATGGCGACAGTCTTTTGGGACTCTAGTCTCCTATTGATTAATTATAAAGGTAAAGGTGTCTCCATAACCGAAAATTACTACGCTTCAATCCTAGAACAATTGAAGGAAGCTATAAAGAAGAAAAGAAGGGGAAAATTGACCAAAGAAATCCTTCTTCTGCACGACAACGCGCCTGTTCACAAGTGCCATGTTGCGATGGCTGCCCTGCAGAAGGACTGAACTTCGAAATTTTGCGACACCCACCCTATAGCCCTGACCTGGCCCCCAGTGATTATTATCTATTTCCAAACTTAAAAATTATAGCGTATTAGCGTATTTTTTAGACAAATCATTTATTTTTGAGAGTATACATAAGTTAATTGAAAGATCCGAAAAATGTATTAAGGTAGCAGGCATGAAGCAAATACAAAGAGGAGACGTTGTAATTAAATTTCACTATGTAATAACGCGTGACAATTTGCGGGGTGAGGGGATGCAAATTCCCGCCCACTTTACACTATCTACATCTACCGATAAATAATAAAACTACCCGAATCTTTCTATATCGATGTTGCAATGTAGCTTAGCTACCTTAACGGTAGATGGCGGCATGTCCACAAAATGTTATAAACTAAAAAATTAATATTTTGGCGATTAAAATTTCTTTGTCTGAATGCAAAACAAATTTCAGCACATTCGTATGATTATTTTATAATTAATGAGCTCTACGTACCTTTATATTTTTAGTTCACAGGACACAAAGTGTCGCCATCTAGTGTGGAATATATTTAATTATTCCTTTATAATATTAGTGAGATAAGTAGGATATTTAGTTCCAAATTAAATATCCTACTTAATATTGAACATAGAATATTTAGTTTCAAAGAGATTTTATTTTATGGATAAAATAAATATTTTTTGAAGGTTGACTTTCACGAAATGATAAACATACGAGGGTTGATCCAAAAGTAATGATAATGAAAATAAAACACGGTAATTAAAGTTAAAATAATAATTTATTTTTCTACATAGTCTCCTAACAAATCAATACATTTAGTCCATCTTTTTTCTAAACCCAGGATTCCCTTTAAAAAAATTATTTGTCTTGACCCTCCCAAAACGCTTCAACAGCGGCCATTACTTCGCTATCGTCTTCGAATTTCTTGCCTCGGAGGCGTTCCTTGAGCCGAGGAAAGAGGTAGAAATCACTAGGAGCTAGATCTGGCGAATAAGGAGGGTGTTCGAGCAGTTCGAATCCCGTTTCTTGAATGGCAGCCATCGCAACTGCGGCTTTGTGAGCCGGTGCGTTGTCTTGGTGAAACAGCACTCCAGCTCGCAGTTTGCCGCGTCTTTTTTCCTTAATAGCCTCCCGTAATCTTCTTATTTGGTCTGCGTAGTAAGAGCCCGTAATAGTGGCTCCCTTTTCCAAATATTCCACCATAATTATGCCTTGAGCGTCCCAAAAAACAGATGCCATAACCTTTCCCGCCGAACTTGTAACTTTGAATTTCTTTGGCGTCGGTGAGGAGGCTCGCTTCCAAGTCATCGATTGTTGTTTCGTTTCAGGATCAAAATGGTGGATCCAGGTCTCGTCCATAGTCACTAAACGGAACAAAATATTTTCTTGATCTGCTTGGAACTTTTCGAGATTGACCCTCGAAATGTTAACACGATTTTTCTTTTGCTCGTCGGTTAACATTCTGGGTACCCAACGCGCAGAGACCTTTTTCATATGCAACTCGTTCGCAAGGATTCTTTGAACGCCGCCATATGAGAACCCTGTGACCTCAGCTACATGCCTGATGGTCACTCTTCGATCTGCCAACACAACATCTTCGACTTTTTTCACGTTGTCGTCTTCAGTGAGGGACGTGGATGGGCGTCCTTCGCGATGTTCATCTTCAGTGGATGTTCTGCCCAGTTTAAACTCCTTAGCCCAGCGTGCAACTGTAGAATATGGAGGAGCAGAGTCCCCCAATGTTTCCACTAAGTCACTGTGTATGTCTTTTGAAGACATTTTTTTCAAACAGAGGTACTTGATGACAGCTCTAATTTCGTTTTTCTCCATGTTGATGTTATCTCTTTGACAGTTCGTATTCAAATGAATGTATCTCCCGGAAATCGTGATCTATTTATATGATTTTTTTAGGCTGACGTAGTGAGTATATAAGCAAGCAAAAAATATTTTTTTTGGATTTTTATGCGGACCTGAAGTAACCGATTATCATTACTTTTGGATCACCCCTCGTATTTAAATAGTATTTAAGTGATTCTTTGCATATAGAATGTCACTTAAATATAAATTAAACATTTCTTAAAAATCAGCCTAAGTACAATTTCCTTCATTTTAATATTGAAAGTTGGATTACTAAATAAAATAATTGAATTCTAATTACGGCACTGTCTTTTTGTTATCTTTATGAGGTTTACTTGACGATAGAATACGGCCTGTTCACATATTGATTATAAACTATAAAAATAATATTTTGTGATTAAAATTTCTTTATGTCTGAATGCAAAACATATTTCAGCACCTTCGTATGATTATTTTACCAATACTGAGCTCTACGGACCTTTATATTTTTAGTTCACATGACACAAAGTGTCGCCATCTAGTGTCGAATATATTTAATTATATTTGAAAGCCGACGCAAAGAGATTTTTCTAGAACTATTTTAATAAATTAGGTGTAAAATTATTTACAAATGAAATGTAATGCCATCCCTAACATCAGAGCGTCTATCTGAGTAGTTTTTACACAATAAAACACAACACTTCATCCTTATCTTTACTACGAAAATATACCGATTTGCGATTTTTTCAACACATAAGCGCACAGGACGAATGCTGATAGTATACTAACTAAAGCCACGCTCACTATGATGACGTCAGGACCTACTTAGAATCACAGTGCACAGTTGCTTATGCCGTCTCCCCTTTGTATTAGCTTCATGGTAGCAGGTGAATATATTGAAAAGGAAAAATAAATTTTGATTTTTATTTCCACTCTTTACCCCCCACTCCGCGAACTTAAAAAACGCACCCTCGTATATCGAAACTGGTATTTTCTACTGGTTAGAATATTATATGTTATGAGAATATAATAAAAAAATGTTGGGTAACTAACTAACAGGTATTAAGCCGCGTATTGATTATGCGCTCTATGAGGTCAAACATTGGCGCGCGTTCCAGCCGCGCGAAATGAAAGATACCTTGAAACGCGCGCCAAATTGGTCGTTGGGACGCTCAAACGTGGAGCAGGCTGTTCCATCTGGTGTCGGTTTTTTACCGCGTATCAAAGTAGTTAAGTATTCTCGCGCGCCAGTTGGAACGGTTGTTTTCATCATTCGTGTGTTCGTTGCGTTCCGAACTATGGATAACCAGAGTTGCCGTAAATTGATAAAATGATATGGTTCAAAATAACAGCTGTGGAATAGCAAAAGTAGTTTTTATCATAATAAAGCGCCCAGAGAAAATGCATAGAACTATGAAAGCGGTAGCTGTTTGTACACGACCGACATCCATGTTGAACGGTCAAACTTTGGAACAGCTGCCGCGCGTGCCAGACGCGCTTAGTTGATACACTTCGAACATTTGGAACGCGTTCCGCGGAACGAATTTGTCGGCGCGATTATTCATGGTGCGCGCGCCAGGAGCGCGTAATCGATACGCGGCTTTAGTTGTGAAACAATCACATTTTGTAAATTTCATAAAAATGCCTTTATAAAATGAAGTAAGTGGATCTTCATGCAATATGACAGAAAATGTGTATCAAAGTTGAAGCAAGCCGATATCAGTCGATAGATGGCTTTAGGCTGCCTTTCCATCAGGGAGCTTAGTGGTGCAGGTGAACCAAACTAAGCTGTGAAATGAGGTATCTTTGCACAAAAGCTTATTGATGTATAGTAGCCGATAAAAAACGCGACGAAAATGCGTGAGGAAGATGCGCGAGAATTAAGCGCGCAGGCTCTTTCTTTGCGCGTTTCCGTGTTTCTGGTATACTAAGGTGTACCACACATACATTTCTCGCATACCTTGTTTACATCTCTTGCGCTTATATACTTCACACAGATCTCTCTTTCACATCTCTTACTCCAGTGAGTATGTAAAAAACTTTGCTTCATTAAACCCACACCCTCGCACATCCTTAGTGGAAAGGCAGCCTTACCAACTGGGTATGGTATCTACTATTTAAATTAATTAGTATTAATAAAACAATAATAAATTAATAAACTTACATATTTTTCCAGATAAAGGGATTGATTGTCAAGCAAGGCTTTTACCATTCTCATTAAATAAATAAGAAGAGCAAGATTGTTTTGAACAACATTTACTTTAACTCCCTCTGAAATAAAAGTGCACATTCTTGGGAGCATCTCATGTAAGCCAGGATCACAGGCCAATGATTGTAGAGCTTCCTGTAAAATAAATTATTAATTATTAAAAGAAGTTCACCAAAACAGTTGGTAGCAAACACACTACCTCATTACTTCAAAGGACCACATGTCCTTTAAAGTAATGAGGTAAATTTAGCCTATTCCAAAACTTGCATTATCATCAACATTTTTTTTAATGTGAGTTATGCAAAGTAATGTCCAAATGCCTTGACGGCTCCGTGATGCAGTGGCTTAGCAATGAGTTACAGCGCTAAGGGCCGTGGGTTCGAATCCCGCACAGAACAAATATTTGTATGTCCTACAAATAATTGTTCTGGGTCTGGATGTTTGATGACGAAACAGAAGATGGATTGGACATTTTATGACAAATGAGTAGCTTCCAATACATATCTTTGAGGGGGAGAAAAAAAATGATCATGTGTCTTGACTGCTTAACCGATTTGATGGACATTAACAGGGTTACAGGTTTTCACACCGCTACTGCTAGCTAGCATTTATACTAGGTAGGCTTTATATAAAAACTAGCTGACCCTGAGAACTATCGTACCACCTAGCAGTCGGTTCTTTATTTTTTTATTTTTTTTAATACTTATTCTGCTATTGGATGTCCCGCCAGGTCAGCTAGTAAGATAAAAAAAGAAAAATGAAAGCTGATAAGTCAACAATTATAATTATGTCAAAAATTATAAAACACGTAAAATTCTTTTAATAGTCACTAAAAATCACAATGTACAATTTCTGATTTTTTATTATGATACCTACACAAATATTGACACTAATATTTATACAATACTAACGTCACTAAATTGTTTTACCTTCCCGGAACCCCATCACTAACACTTAAACTTTATGGTATGATATTAAAGTTCAAATTGAATTTTAAGTATTATTACGAATCTTTTGTATGGGAATATAAAAGTGTTGTTTTTAGACTTTTTCAGGATTTTTTTTAAATTTTTCTCTCCGTAAGAACCATCTTCGTACTTCAAGGAATATTATAAAAAAAGAATTAACGAAATCGGTTCAGCTGCTCTTGAGATTTGCACTTAGCAACACATTCAGCGATTCATTTTTATATTATAGATGAAAAATAAGGCTATTTAAACTTTCAAAAAAAAAAATTTAAGAAGGAATTTAATACCGTTCTGTGATTTTAGGGCCTTTTTTATTCATAATCTATTATTATATAATGCTAAGATTCTACAGCGCTCAGGTAACTCAAATAATATTAAATGCCTGTCTGTATAGAAAATACGCTCTTAGACATTTGTCATTAAAAATAAGTTACCACTTAAGACACTGACACTATAAAAAACCCATGTTTAAGCTATTAATAGACTTAAACAGCATTATTACAGCAAAACATATTGTTATTACTAAAAATAAAGCAAAACTAAAATTTAAGCATTACATTTAGTAAAAAGTGCCAGAAAAATGGATGGATTTACCATCTATTTTACATACACAACACATACACAATCAAAAATGCAATAATATTAAATCACTTACTGCACGTCGACCTTCATCGCTACCCACACAAGCCTCCGTAATTTCTTTATAGTAAAGCTGCTGTTCCACACTTAATTCGTGTGTAGCAAGTTGCTTAACATGTACAGATTCTGAAGCTTTTAAGCGAGCGGCTTTTCCACATACAGGTTTACCTGAATATCACACAAAAGTTTATTATTTAAATTTATAAAACTTTAATATCTTTTGCTGGTGGAAGCTCCAGGGTGGCCCGCGAAATTCAAATTTTCTTGCGTTTTTTGGAATTTGCAGGTCAGGGTTAGGTTGTATATTTAACAAAATATGATTCACGACCGTAGCGATTATGTGTTTACAGAATTATTATCATCAAAATCACCAGTACAACCCTGTAAGTTCAGTAAGTTTTTGTGGAAAAACTCATTCAAAGGGCTAATATGAACTTACAGGGTTTTTTGAATGAGTTTTTCTGGAAAAACTCATTCAAAGGGCTAATATCAACTTTCAGGGTTGTATTGGTGATTTTAATGACAATAATTCTGTACACACATAATCACTGCGATCGCGAATCATATTTTGTTAAATATACAACCTAACCCTGACATGCAAATTCCAAAAAACGCAAGAAAATTTGAATTTCGCGGGCCACCCTGGAGCTTCCACCTTAACATGTAAACCGTCATTACCAGCAGAGTCTTTACTGTTAGGTTTACTAAGTTTTGTGATTGGATCAACTGATTCAAGTTTTTGCGCTTCCTTTGATAATGGCGGAGGATTCTCTGGTACAGCAGGTTGCACACCATCTACACTTAGCCAATGTGCTCTGACAGAAACATCCAAAGGAATTTTTGGTGGAGGTGCTGATAATATCTCAGATAAATCAATTTCTTTTTCTTCAACAAAATGTAGCTCTCTGCCTCCTCCAGACGCAAATCGAAATGGTAATGAATCTGGTTGTATAAACCCATACTGACACTGAAACATTTTATATGATATAAACAACGCACACACTAGGCCAAAATATGAACAAGACAAAGGAGTCACATATTTAATATTTGAATAAAAAAGTTAATTTACCTCAATATTTTTAATTTTTAAGGCATGGTCTATATCGGTTATGGATAGCTTCTGCCGCTTAGAATGATGCATAAACTTCATAGCATCTTGGACGATAATTTTGAGTCGATATGAAACATCATCAGCCAATTCCTTCGCGGCATCGTCACCGAGGCTTGCAATCCCTACACTTTCAGCTATTACTTTAATAGAGTCAATAGTGAGAGAAGTTCCATAAGTTAAATCAGCATCACCCATGTTTTATAAGTTATTATAAAATATAAATTTCTTCAAAATATTAATGTCAAAAGATTTTAGAAAAATTGTATGTACAACTTTTCATAAGAAAAGGAAAACAAAGCAAAATTGCATAAAGCATAAACAATGTTTACACTGTTTCATGAAACTCAAATAAATATAAATTTTAAGACTACATACATAAACTATGAAAATGAAATAATAATAGAACCATAGATTGTTGTTGTTTTTATTATTCGCTCGAGAGAGCAGGCAAAGGAACTATGCCATACAGCCTTGTCTTTTGTAATTATCCTTCATAGTTCACTGCTTCACAATATGTTGATGCGTCACATTGTGCAGTTCTTGGGAGAGGGAGATTTTGACGGCAACTTGATCCAGCAGACAGCTGACAGTGGACGATGGTATCTAAAGGTGCAAACAAACAGCTTATCTTGAGAATCCATTACCATCAGAGCACTTGTTTAACTGTTTCCACTAATAGTTCACATGCGTAGTCAATTAATACACAAAATTGCACCACTTTTACATATTAAAGTCCACTTCAAACCATTATTTAAACAATAATAACGCGTAGTGTTTCTATATAGTTTGTGACAATAATATAGGAGCAGCAAACCGCCGCTGGTCAAGTTCCCGCCAAAACTCAGAAACCCTCAGAACCATAGATTACTGATAGAACTTCGTGCTCTTTTTACTTTGACATTTTTTATTAAGATTTTTGGCTTGGATTTTTGTCTTTTAAGCCATATCTTCATCTCATTCGGGATCTCCGTTTTTATAGATTTTCTATCGTGGATTGCATTTGTAAAAAATACAGTCCGTTCACAGTTATTTTACCTCTAACTATAAAGTTGGCTACCTTAAACTGTGTTTCCATATGAGGTTTGTATGATTCCCTTGTACAAAATAATTTAATAGTAGGCATTTTTAATAACAATACATTTGTATAATAATGGATAGCTCATACATTTAGTCTATTCAACGCTAATAAAAAAAAATTATAACTTCCATTTATTGCGAATAAGCGTGATCCATGCGGATAGCTAATGTCGATAAGTCACTATCTGATGAACATGAATAATCAAAAACTGCCGTCAGATTCTATATCAGACTCGTCATTCAAATCTACAATAAACTTGTCCATTTCAGCATCTATCTGAAATGGCCAGCATCTATGTGGCGCACATGTTCGCATTGCTTTTGCCGGTCTCCTGCAGTAATAGATTGTAAAGCTTTTTCGGTTAATTTTACTATCTTATCTTTTTCCTGTCCAACATTCTTACTAGCTACACGCTTCTTTAAAAGGCTCCACTTAAATTCTATATCATTCAACTCGCAATGTTCCGGGGGAAGTCTAACCACTTTGTGTCCATGCGCCTCAAGCAATTGATCAGCTTCATATATTGAAACTTCTTTATGCTCTTTTCTAATTTCGTACAATTGAGGTTTCACCATAGTAGGCACATAAAATAACCCTTTATTTGTGATCCAAGTTTGTATATCAGCTTTGGTAGAACTCAATGTTGGTGCCTTATGCAGAGTTTACACGGGCTTATTAACTAATGCTTAGTATTTGTCACTTGTGCTGCGCGCCGACCTCCCTACCGGCGTCAGCGTAGTTTGCTACGCTGACGACACGCTGGTACTGGCACAGGGGGGGTCGTACGAGGCGGCGGCGGAAAATATGACACGCGGGGTTGCGATAGTCGTTGAGAGGATCCGGCAGCTGGGTCTTGAGGTGGCTCTGCACAAGTCCGAGGCCATGCACATCCATGGTCCTCGGAACAGGCCACCACCGGGATCCTCAGCGATGGTAGGAGGGGTATCCATCGGCGTCGAGTCGACGTTGAAGTACCTAAGACTCGTCCTCGACGGCCGATGGAACTTCGTTGAGCACTTCCGACGTTTGGCTCCCAAACTGGAACGGACCGGGGCTGCCTTCAGGCGGCTCCTGCCGAACCTGGGGGGGGCCAAACGCCTCCCGCCGGAGGCTCTACGCGGGGATTGTGCGGTCCATGGCCCTTTACGGGGCCCCGGTGTGGGCGCGTGGTTTGGCGCGGCTTGCCGTCCACCACCTGAACGCGCCCCAAAAGGTGGTTGCCGTAAGAATGGTTCGCGGCTACCGCACGATCTCCCACGAGGTAGCGTGCCTCCTTGCCGGATTGCCGCCATGGGATCTGGAGGCGATAGTCCTCGCACGCCTACACGAATGGCGCGCGGAGGCACTATGCCGGGGGGAAACCCCGCTGCCGCGGCAAGTTGTCGTGCAGCGGACAGACTTCCGGCATGATCTCATGGCGACATGGAGAGAGCGACTGTCGCAACCCCATGCTGGGCACGCCACTATAGCGGCGATAAGACCCCTCTTTGAGGAGTGGCTTGAGAGACGCCACGGCGTCCTCACCTTCCGCCTGACGCAGGTCCTCACCGGACACGGTGTGTTCGGGAGGTTCCTGCACCGAATCGGGCGGGAGGAAACGCCCGGGTGCTCCCACTGCGAGTATCGACCGGAGGACACGGTGGAGCACACCGTGGAAGTGTGCCCTGCCTGGGCGGAGCACCGCCGTGTCCTCGTAGCGGCGATAGGCGGCGGCAACCTCTCGCGTCCGGCCCTGGTCGAAGCCATGGTCCGGAGCGAGACGGAATGGGATGCCGTCACTACCTTCTGCGAAGCAGTGATGCTAGCGAAGGAGGTGGCGGAGCGGGAGAAGGAGAGAGCAGCAGCTTTCCTTCCCGGCCGCCGCGGGAGACGCCCCGGGCGTCGGGGGCTACGTCGTGGCCCCCGGCCACCGTAGGCGCGGGCCTGTTGACGGCGAGCAATGGGTAGCTCGCCGTCCGTCCGTCTAACGACGACAGGCCGTGTCGACGGCGCGTTTTGTTCCACGCGCGCCTCAAAGAGCTGTCAGCAGCGTGAAGGGGCCCGCAAGGGCCGACGCCTGCCGGGGCTGCGGGCTGTTCGAAAGAGATACCGCGGCTCCGGAACGTAAGGGCACTGAAGGAACACGGATGGTTTTTAGTCAGTAAAAGTCTGACACTCCCTTCCGCTCCACCCAGAGCGAAAGGCGTCATTTGATGATTTTCCATCCGCAAAAAAAAAAAGTATTTGTCACTTACACTATAATACCCATTGTGTAATCATAATGAATTTGTGCTTAGTATTAGTATTTGTATCAGTGCAAATAAATCGAAGTCGGTCCTATTTACCTCAATTTATAATAGATCATCGAATATAAAAAAAAATCTGTAGGTACGTTAAAGGCTATACTATGCTTGTAAGGTTTTAACAAATATGTTTTAGCGTAATCTCCAACAAAAAATTCACAGTTTGGCAGCAAATTGTTTTCGAGATCACGAAATATTGAACAGTTTTGAAAAACACCGCCAACTGAGCATCTTCCGTTTGCTCCAATATTTGTATATACAAAACAGCAATCATCATCGCCGACGGCCATTAGTATAATGCTATTACTTCCTTTATAATTGTAGTAATCACTGCCATAGTTAGGTGGTGCTTGAATATTTACGTGTTTGCTATTTATAGCACCATAAACCCTTGGAAAGTTCCAACGCGTATTGAAACCCCGTTTCTATTTTCTTCCATTCTTCACGTGAAGCAGGAATCTGATATGTTTTTGTTTGTTTTAGGATCAGGCATCTACAAGCAACGAGCAAGATAACTCTGTCCCTTCTACTAAAGAGGCTGTAGATGAAACTGGCTCAGAACAAAGTCATAGTTCACAAACTGTCTCAGAACAAATGAACAAAGTCACAGTTCACAGCCTGCAGGTAAAAATGTGTCGAAGTGGAAGGGAATCTTCCGTGCTATTGGGGAGTTAAAAAAACTACAAGAAGCTGTCAACAGAACGTGACAATGCAGTTACGAGCATTATCATTCGAGAGAAGTATGATTGCACAAGCGAGAATACAGAATATTTTGACTGAGCTCGCAATCGAGAACCATATGTACAGTAATATGTCCGTACCGACAAAATTATAAACTCTGTAGAAATGTGATAACATGCGGTAGCTACCTCCTGTTGCCAAAAATGGCAAAGTAACCTCTAATTTTATATTTGCTGGTATTGCACCCCTCATAGTTGTGTCTAATCATTGAATTGCCGGCGTGATTTTTTTTAATAAAATTCAAATTGATCCGTTGATAGTCTCATACACATTCCGTATTCGCTTGGATCTTCGGTTGCTAACTCTCTTAATAGAAGAGCAGAATTGCCAAGGTTGTTTCTACGCAGCCACTACTGTCTTGTCCACAAACGTTTTTCTTTTCTTTTAATGCTTCTCTTTTAAGGTCCTCTATTATTGCTGATATAATTATGTTAGGATAATATTTAAACACACTACGCAAAATCAGGCGGTGGCGGCGTTCCATTTCGAATGTCTGGTCACTAGCACCTTTCTACTTATTCCAACGTGTAGACGGTTACTTCTCACTTGTCACTATGCAGCTTAGTGCTAAGCGATTTCTATTAATGACAAATACTAAGCCCGTATAAACCCGCCGTTATTCACTTTTACAAAATGATAGGGCATTATCCATCAGTATTAAACTTTTAGGCGGCAAATTAGGTATAGTTTTAGAGCCATTTCATAAAATTTGTTCTGTTCATGTTATCATAATAGTCACCCGACTTCGACTGTGATTTAAATATCAATTGCGCATTTGGTATAAAGTCCATTTCACCACCTGCATGAACAATAATACAGCGTGCACCAACTGAATCACTCTTTAAAATTTCTCCTTCATTTTCCGTTCGCCAACATTTTTTCCCAGAATATGAAGTGTGAATATACGTTTCACGACGCGGTACGACCCCCATAAAATTGATGTCAATTTTTAACTCAGCTTATAATTTACCCAAATTATGCACCTCTTTTCTGACTATGTACATTTAATGTATTTTATTTTTGATTGCTTACAGATCAAAATCATTCAACTCAACTTTTTTTGTTGCTTTCGTTTTTTTCTAGCTGTGGATATT